GCGCACTGGATAAGCTTAGAAAAAAAAAAATTAAAACGCGTAAAAACACGTTAATTTCAACAAAGGAGACAGAATCAATTAAGAACTGTTTCCATAGTAATGTTAATGGCATATACCGTATTGATCCTTGTGTGACAGCAATAGTAAGCTAACATATAATTCACTTCTATTATCGTAAAAAAAAAACTCATTAACATTTTCACATGTGAAAAATGGAATTTCGAACTGCACAAATACTATAATTAGCGTCCCCCTTGCAGTTTGCAACGCCCCCGGAGGCGTTAATTACAGGCAATACGGTATATAATGTTTTAGCATACTACTTTAATATTGTTAGGGAATTGTGTTTTTGACACAAAAAAGTAATTATCGCTTTAGTCATAAAAACTTATTTTTGTGTGCACTTTTTTCTATCATTCTTAATCTCATTGACTTCCTAATATGTATTTTGATTATTTTACATATTTCATAAGCACATATTACGTGTTTTTACCTCCGCCATCATGGGTGACGGAAGTTATGTTTTTACCCCCTGTGTGTGTGTTTGTTTGTGTCAGCAAGATTTCTCAAAAACGGCTCATTGGAGTTGCACGGAAGTGATTAGTTTTTGGAGGGTCAAGGTCACGAAAATCCCCCCCCCCAATCCATATCTGTTAACATGAGGACCGATTTTTCACACTATTTTTGCTCTATAACTCAATCAAACATTATCTGATTTTAATGAAACTTGGTGGACATCTTCATTGTCCTGCAAAAAATGACCCGTTGTAAATGATGGACATATGCACACATTTTCGGATTTTTTTTTTTTTTGAGGGCCTAATATGATCAACGCTGCGTGGCCTCTGAGTGCCCTCTAGTTTTGTTTTGTCTTTTACAGAATCAAACTAGTTTTTTTTTTTTTTACTGGCTTAAAATGCATTCCACGGATGAGTTTATAAAAATTACATAAAAAGTAAACAAGAGAAGGCTGTTTCCATCGAATACAAATGAAGACATTAATTTAAATCAAGGCCATGTTTTCGATCCTTTGTCAAACACTTCCTTGTGAACTCACTGCATTACCTGCTTGTTTTCGATTTCATTGGCCAGGTAAAACCAGTAAGACACGATTAAAATGAGGTCAGTGAGGGATGTGCATTTTAAGTGAACTCGGTTCTCACGATGTAGACCCTGGGACAGAAAAAAAAAACATAAGAGATCCAGAACTCAACAAACATTAACACATTAAAACAGAAGAACCAAAAACAACGTGTTCTACGTTTTATACTTTTATTACCAGGTTTTGTATAAAGTTGAAACATAGTTTACGGAACAGTAAAACGTCATATCCACAGTTTCGAAACCAAATATGTAAAATTGATAGAACAAAAAGTATGTTTGTTTGGAATTTCGCGCAAAGCTACACGAAGGCTATCTGCGCTAACCGTCCCTCATTTAGCGATGAAAGACTAGAGGGAAGGCAACTAGTCATCACCACCCACCGCCAACTCTTGGACTACTCTTTTACCAACGAATAGTTGGATTGATGATCACACGATAACGCCTCTACGGCTGAAAGGGCGAGTATGTTTGGTGGGACGGGGATTCGAACCCGCGACCCTCAGATTACAATCAAGCCAGTTCAGCTCAGTTTACCAAACTGTGTTTACTACTTACGCCCAATGCTAGTAAAGGTTTTTAACGAAAAT